TCAGGTTATCTTGAGATGTATCTTGACAGAGGTTAGGAACCACAGCTTTCAAAGACAGGCTTCAGATTATATTTGTGCCCATGCAGGGAAGTATGAGCTACCGGTGAGAGCTCGGTGTTGGCTATCCTGTCAACTTGCATGAAGTAAGCAAATATCCACGGTGTTGGAGTCGGCTCTCTTGTCAGCCTGTATTACTTCCGAACTATTTGTGTGGATGGTTGTCTTTTGTGTATACGTAGATTCTGTGCGGCTCAGGTGTTTACAGGTGAGTGTTGCAGATTTTTTTTTCTGTCCATCTTTGTAAGAAACTGTGTCGTCTCAGTTTGCTCTTTCTTTCTCATCTCTCACCTGTCAGTTTGTTTGATGCCTAAGTGTTTGTGACAATAAGTATGCAGCCTATTCCAGGTGTTAAAGGGTCCCGTATAGTCGAAATCCATTTTCATCGTGTCTTGTGGTTGTTATGAACTTGGGGTTGTGAAGTAAAAGCTGTTACGATGTGAAGACATTTATATTCTGCCATTCCTCTCAACGAGATAGCCTCCTCGCTTTACAAGCCAGTAAGAATTTTACTCAGCTGCTATGTTCCAACATCTTCTAGCTCAAGCTCTGTATAATCCTGAACCCTCACTTCCTGCTGCTTGCAAGGTGAGCCATTCAGAATGAGCAGCTGCCTCTCAGTCCACCAGGTTTATTTGCTCTCCATAGCTGCTTCTGCTAACTCTGAAAAGCCTCAGCCAAGAGCAAAGCTCACCAAATGTTCTGCTGCTGGCTGTAAGAGTCTCCGTGCACTCCCAGCATTGGAGGAACTGAAGATCAAGTGGATTACTCTTGATTATCAATGGAAATTTCACAACTCCAATAGGAGGAAAGTCCTTATTGTGAGAACATTGTTTGGCCAACGTTATCAGTAGCTGTGGTCATATGCTCACAGGTCAGAGCTGTGTGTTGTTGAGGAACATTCATAGATGGTGGAAACCCTAAGACTGATTCTAAACTACTTTACATGGACTGGATGTGGGTTGATGTGTTTCCCTCGTTGTGCTCTAGTCACGCTTCGTGTTTACATCTGTTTTCTTTTCTCCTGCTCTCTTGTGCAAATACGCTGCAGTCTGATACAGTTGAAATTGCAATAAAGCTATTTTTTTTTCTGTTTCTGTTGTCAGACAACAGAATGAATATGACATAGTGACTGAAAGGCAGCGCGTTGAGGCTGATAAAACCAGACGACAGAGCCATGTCCAAGCTGCAGCTCTGTCATCGTATGACAGTTCACCGTACACATGAGTTGAATACAATGTTTGGGAAGTGATTCTGTCGATAGTTCCACATAAAAACATCGCTCAGAGAGAAATGTATGAACAATAGACAGTCCTGGTCTCACACATAGTGTTTCACTCTGTGTTGTTGGTCACAGAGACAGAGAGTCTCCTTCCTGTAGGAGGCGTGAACAGCAGCAGCTCATTTGCATTTGATGCCACAGACACTCATGTTTAGAACAATGTTAAAACTAGGGGTCATCCATCATCCATCTGTTATCTCTACACCACTTAATCCCAGCTGACTCAGGGTGAAGGCAGAGGACACCCTGGACAGGTCACCAGTCTATCACAGGGCTACACTTAGAGACAGACAACCAAGCACACTCACATTCACACCTACGGACAATTTAGAATCACCAATTAACCTCAACATTTTTTTGGGAGGAAGCCAGAGAACCCGGAGAGAACCCACGCTGCACGGGGAGAACATGGAGACTCCATGCAGAAAGATCCTGAGTGTTCTCACCAGGATGCGACCTTCTAGCTGCGAGGCGGCGGTGCTAACCACCTCACCACCCTGCAGCCCAGTGGTTGTACAGTCACAGTAAAATTAAGCATCTTTGTAAAGCTGGAAAATCGAGAGAAATGGATGTTCATCTTCATCCTGTTCATCATTATTCGTCTTTTTTTGTTCCCTTTCTTTTCTTTTTCGTAATTCCAGAACGTCCACAGGTACTGTAACCTGATTGGCCGCTGCTGAGTGGCTGACAGTGGGCGTGTTAGCAAAACCAACCAATGGGGAAATGAGCGGCCTCTCCCGCCTGAGGCTGTGGTGACCAATGGGAGAAGGGCTCGCTCTGTTGTTGTTGTTTACATTAATTAGTTGAAAATTATTAAAAATTATTTTTCAGTGCAATACTGTCAAACTTATGTCCCATCCTATAACTACAGTGTATGTTTCGGTATTGTTTATTCTCTCTATTATCTTTGTCCCCCCTTTACTTCAGGACACCTCTGACTGTTCAAACTCTCATCACTTGCATTACGAGCAAAATGGCTCATAGTTTACATACGTCTCTCTTTTCGTTGTACCTAAATGCCTCATTCTCTGTTGATCAGCTACTGCTTGATTTGTTAACTTCTGGGGGTTTTTTTTGCTACCCTGGCAGCTGTTACATGGCTGTCTTTACTCTTTCCCAGCACTTTTTTTTTTCCTTCACATGCAAGCACATAAACACAATTTGCGCTCTCTGTACAGTACATAACGTTACATTGTTCTTTTGAGTGCCAAACTGGTCACTGAGCATCCACTTCTGATTATTGCACAAACAATAACTCAAGAGGCCATTAACACTTAGAACCGTGCTGCTACTCTGGCTTTGGACGCTCATCATGTACACACACACACACTCGCTGTTCAGAAGCCAAATCTTTACACTCAATCTTCCCCGACTATAATTATCCGGTCCAAAATGCAACGTAAAGAGTGATTACAGCAGCACATTCAACAGTAGGTTAACAATAATAGTACATTTTAAAGCTGAATTGCAGATCTGAAGAACAAAGCACTGAATATCAAATGAAGATATGTTCAATGTGTATATCAAAAACAGAGTTAAAAACAAAGGGAACAAGTGTGCAGGAATGATTTCTACAATATGATAAAACCAGTGCAGATGGTGGTGCAATACAGTGTTATGGTGAAAGATAGGAACTATTTCCTAAACTGTGCTTTATGACAGCGGAGCCGAATGAGTCTGTTAGAAAATGAGCTCTGCCGTCTCCGTGTCATGGCGAAGTTGGGATTGATCGTCGGCGATAGAGAGCAGTTTGTTCGGTGACCTCCTGCTTCTAGCCGACTCAAAGCATCTCCAGGTTTTGACCAATAATAGCTGCAGCCTTAGCGAATGAGTTTATTGATCCCGCGGGCATCTCTGGCACCGACGCTGCTTCCCCCAGCAGACCGCAGCACAGGAAGATGGCAGCCGCAACCACAGACTGGTAGAAGATCTCGTTTGATATATGTGTAGTGTTACCTCCAGGGCATTGTCCTTCTTGATGCATTACCATATCTTTACAGAATGCCTCATGGTCAATGTTTTCAGAGGGAATTGCTGTGGAGGTTACACTCGCTGAGCTATATCTCCTCTTTTATGATGATAAAATGCGCCGGCTTCTGTGCTGTGGTTTTACGGCAGACTTTTTCTTGAGTTTTATATGCGAGCACAGCCTCACGACCTTTGTGCCCCTGCTGATATTTACTACATTAATACCTGCTTTGTTTGTGCTTTTTTAAGTCTCTAATGCATCATGATGTGGAAAAATACGTTACAGACACGGTATACAGAGCAAACCCACATGTCTCGTTCAGCGCTGATCTGTCAGTCTTCATTCTGTCTGACTGTGAAAACATGACGTTGGACAGCAAAGGTCAGACAGAAATCCGGGATAGAGCAGGACTGCTTGGATAACAATATTGCAGAGGCAACAGCATGCTTAATAATTTAGATGCACTTCTTGTTAACAGATTCTCTCAGTCTCTCTATTGATTCTGGCAGTCGCTTGAACTATGTTGTAGGCTTGTAAAGCTTTTGCTGCACTGTTCATTCGTTGCATCATGGATATCTTGAATTGATTAGCCGAAGTCGCTCATCTGGCAGTTTTTGTTTCTTTTTTCATGCCTGGTGAGTTTACTTTAAACGTGTGAGAGCACAAATACCCGTGGCACTGACTCGCACAGTCGTCCAGTGAGCTTATTATCTCATCTAAAAAGTAAGATGGATACTGAGAAGTCACTGCCTTTTTTTTTATTGGTTTGGTATCTCATCCTCAAGGTCTAATGTGCTCTTCACTTCATAAAGATCAATGGGAATGCGAGGCCTATTAAAATGCCCTTCTCTCCTGTGGATTTTAATATTCAAATGTTTTTATTATGTCTTAAAACATTTATGCATTTTTTCACCCTGCATTTCGCCTACTTTTTATAGAAAGTGGTTAAATGGAGTATGCGAACTTCCCCTTTTTTCAGATGGGCCATCATTCCTTCTGTCCAGCAGCTATGTGTAAGAAAAGTGCTCAATTTCCTGTTATATAGAAATTAAATGTCTTGCTCAAAGTGATGAGAAAACAACAGTGTAAGCTTGGACTCCAGAGAGAATCTCATGGCTGTGAACCATGCCAAAAAGGACCAAATGTAGTTCCGTGTCTATGACCTTGTTACACATGAACACTGGGGGGAGAACTGCAAGTCCAAAATGAAGGAATAAGTGTTGCTGGGGCGTGCTTACTGGGATGGCAAGCTGGATCAAATTCCGGATACACTTTGGCAAGCCTGCCCTTAGACATCCTCATGGACTACTGAGCTGTTCATTTTAAACAGTGCGAAGTTACAAAAGATTGATTTGTTCCTTTTTTTTTTTTTTTTTAACCCACCCCATAAACACCTGCCAAAGACACCAGTGAAACGTGTGTCAGTGAACAAAGCCACTAAGACCATCAGTCCAGTATGCAGTGCAGTTAAAGTCGCTCCAAAGCTTCGTCCAGCTGGATCATTTATACATTTATACTCCCTCTTTGCCTGCTTTCTTTGTTTTTCCTGCCTGTTGTGCATCATTTGAGCCCTTTTGTCCAAACTGCTGAAGTGCAACATCCAATATTCTGTTTCAGAGTTGAGCTCCGAGAACCTGCGCACCTGCTTTCAGATTGTAAACGCCTACATATACTTGTCTGCCACAGAATTCCTGCAGGTGAGAGAGATGCACGCATGCACTGTTGATGCAAAATTTGCATATGTTTCATTAAATTTGTGCGTGTTAATGTGTTTGTTTTCCTTCTCTTTTTGCAGAACTATGCAGAATCGTTGTGTCGATCCTTCTGTGAACTCCTGAAAGACATCACGAACGAGGGACAGGTCCAAGTGCTCAAGGTACTGTCACTTCTGTCTTCTCACCTCACAGTCAGGTCAAGTTTTTTATTTTTCTTTTCTTGTCCGCTGTCCAATATTCAATATCACACATGGTTGTGTCTCTGTCACACTTTTCTCTGGGCTCATTTTTCATTCTCGCTTCTGAAGTTCCACCACAGCGAGCGGATGTTTGTTTTATCTACGTGGCGAGCTGAAGAGCAGCTGCGCTGGAAGTGGCATAATATGCAGTATATGCAGACAAACAAACATACAGACGACAAACAAACAGACTGTGCTGCTACTGACACCGCATTATAATGCAAGAGGAGTCTTGATATATTCTCTACTAATCAATTATTTGAAAAGTGTTGCATAGTGCACCACGAGCCATTAATTGCACGTTTCATGTCCGTCTGCTGACCGGAAATCTTTGAATCTGACGAGAAACGAACAAGAGTTTGTAACAGAAATTAAATTAATCACAGCTTTCTAAGACTGTTATTTAGAAGGTTGTTTCTGTTCAGCATATGGGTTTTATTACAGTTTTGCATCAGACCATACAATGACACCAAAACTGCTCTGTACTTTTTGTATATTATCCATCCATTATCTATACACCGCTTAATCCTCAGTAGGGTCGCGGAAGGCTGGAGTCTATCCCAGCTGACTCAGGGTGAAGGCAGGGGACACCCTGGACAGGTCGCCAGTCCATCAGAGGGCTACACTTAGCGACAGACAACCAAGCACACTCACATTCACACCTACGGACAATTTAGAATCACCAGTTAACCTCAGCATGTTTTTGGACTGTGTGGGAGGAAGCCGGAGAACCTGGAGAGAACCCACGCTGCACGGGGAGAACATGGAGACTCCACGGAGAAAGATCTCAGGTGTTTTCATCGGGATGCAAACTGATGACCTTGTTGCTGTGAGGCAACGGCGCTACCAACTGCACCACCTTGCAGCCCTATTGTATATTATTACAACGTAAAATCCAGCTTCTGTATCTCAGCAGCTTCTGTCTTTACAGGACAGTTGACTTCGGTAGTCCCCGTGTTGTTGCTGTTGTTGGGCAATTTATTTCATTTTAAAACAGATGAAATCAGCCAACACACTATGGAAGGTATTATGTTCATGTAATTGTTCTGTCAGTTGGAGCTTTAGGTCACAAGTTAAGATTGGCAGATCCATTTGGTTTTGAATTAGAGTTAAACATGCTGAGGCTTTAACTCGACAAGACCTCTAAAGGTGCCAAGTGCTATATGTCACACAACCATTAGCAGCACATCCTTCAAGTCCCGAACTTTGAGCACCTCTATGCGTCAGACTTTTTAAACATATTCTCCAAACCCCAGCCATTGGTTCACAGTTTGTATCTCCTCGGATCACCCAGTCATGTGTCTGTAGCAATTTGCCCCTTGTCAAAGGAACAGGCAGGTATCTACAACTGCTCACTTCTTCTGAACCTATTAGGTTCACTACAAGAGCCAAGTCCATCTAACATATCGTGGGCTTTGACGTGACCTGCTGCTCCGAAATGAGTGTTTTTGCTTAACCTGTGAGATTGTTTCTGCTCACTGGTGTCAGTGTGCACACGTCCATTTGCATGTGCTGCTCTCACCAGTATAGCCATGCACACCGACCATAAGACTGCAGAGCTTTAGGTAGTAAAGCTCGATGCCGTTACTGCTCACCTCCTGCTCGTTCTTTGAGGAATAGAGGACTGGTAGACAAAAGGCTCGTCAACACAGGCACCATGGATATACAGCAGCTCACCACACGTGGGCACCCTGAGAACAGAGGGATTTGAGTAATCAGCATGCGTTTCTTTTGAAAAGTTCCACTGCTCTGGTTGTTTGCAACAGAAAGCGCACCCAACAGTTATCTGCTCCTGACCGAGCACCTGGCTTTAAAATCTTCGTTCTCTGTCTCTCTCTCTCTCTCTGTCAACCAGCAGACTCTGCAGAACCGACATATTCTTTTGTTCTTTTTAATCTATTTCCCTAATAAATGTGAGACTTGGTTATCCAGTCTTGTATCCTCCTTCATGTTGCTGTAACACTGTGTTTTGGGTATCAGTGAAAATGTTCCACGATCACAGCATGATTTATTCTGTTTTAATCACGGGAGGTCTAATGACGATTAAATGATACCCTAATGCTTGGTATCCAGTCGTTTCAGATAAGACGTCTTTTCTGTTAACTTGACATGTAGGCAGACACACTACAAGGTGATTATTGATATGTTAAGGCAGGGAATTGGCAGTAATTTGAGGTTTCTGAACTACCTTTAATAACTTTTCAGTTACTTTTCAGAAAAGCAAAGCAAGTACACGTTTAACCATCATATGGCTATCTGTTTTAGGCTTTACTTTTCATTAAAAACTTCCAACTAAGTATTTTGACTGCACTTGAAATGTGAAATTTAGACATCACTTTAATTTCATTCACTGCAAACTTGATTATTAAAGTCGCTGATGTCAGCATGTTTCTGTGTTGTCACATCTGCCTAATGAGTTCAATCAGCTCCTCTGTACACAGCACATCCTAAAAATTGTCAACGTCCAGAGTTTTGTTTAGTTCGTTAGCGTCGAAACAGCAACAGAGAATTACCTTTCCCTGAGAGGGACGCTGATGCCTTCTTTGTTGCTTTAGGGCTTAGCTTTTGTTGCTGCACTTAAGCTGACTTATGAGTTCAAGGTTTCTTTATTATTTCAGTACCTGACAGAGAGCTCATTCAAATTTCTTGGGGAAACTAAAACGACTCACCTTGTCTGCCACGTTTTGTAGGGCAGACCATTAATAAAAGAAACAGATTTCCTGTACTGTGTTAGAATTGCCTACTGCTGCATTTTTACCTCCTTATGTCCTAGCAAACTTGACTCTCTTTACATCATCTTGTGATTGACCCCTTCTTGCCCCCTTTCTGGCTCCCCCCTGGGTCCTTCCTATCTGCTCGTCCTCGCTACTGTGCCTCGTCTGAGTGTTGTCCCTCATCCTTCCTCTACCTGTGTCTCTGCAGGTGGTAGAGATAGCTTTAAAGGTCAGTCCCATACTGGGAGCCCACATGTTTCAGCCCCTGCTGCCAGCTGTCTTCAGAGGCATTGTGGACGGCGAGGTGAGTTTTACTTTTACATCTTGTACAGATCTGCACTGAGATTATATAAAAGGACAAACCTGTAAAGACACGATGTATTAACTGCAAAATCTGTTTCCCTCCACCATCTTTACAAGAGAACGTCCCTGCAAATTCTTCCAGTTTGTCCTTTTCTGTCACATAAAATTAATTCTTGCGGCTACTATTAAGTGACATTTATCGATCAATCAGCCCAGTTAAAGGTTATGGGCTTCCCTTCCTGGATTCTGCTGTGTCAGTGGGGCCCATCTTCATTCCTCTTGTCAAAGTCAATGACCTGTGCTCTATGTGAAAGCTTTCTATGCATGGTTATGTTTCTCCATCTGCACGTGTAATTATGTGTGTGATGTATAGAGATACCCCGTGGTGATGTCCACCTACCTTGGCATCATGGGTCGCGTCCTGCTCCAGAACTCCAGTTTCTTCTCGTCTTTGCTCACCCAAATGGCTTCTGAGTGCAGCCAGGAGGTGAGGCTCGATGTCCGCCCTTCATTTCTGTCTTCTCAGCACAGTGTCGCTGAACGTCTGCGAGAGACATAACCGCAAAGTGCCTGTTAAAAGGGAGTCATTCTGAACGAGGCTGAAAGTAATGAGCCAAGGAATTGCAAATGGTAACATTTTCAAAGCCCTAAAATTAAAGTTGTCCTCCTGCACTGTGAAACTCTGACACGGTTGCTATTGTCTAAGAGAAAAAATGACTGTGCTTGATTTTGAGATTGGCCTTTATCTGAAAACTTGCCTCTTTAACTTGTCTTCTATCAAGTAGTGCTAGTAGAACTGTTCACTTAAAACATTAAACTAAATTATCAATTTCCACTGTAGTGTGTGGTCAAAAACTGTTTGTGTCCTTCTTTTTTTGACCTCTTTCTTCAGTGTATTGCTCCTCCATAATAACCCTTGTGCTCTCCTCCCTCCTGTCCGTCCCTCTTCCTCCGTCCTCCTCTCTCCTCCTCAGATGGACCAGCTGTTGGGCAGCGTGATAGAGATGTGGGTCGACCGCATGGACAACATCACTCAGCCCGAGAGGAGGAAGCTGTCGTCGCTGGCTCTCCTCTCCCTCCTACCGTCTGACAACAGGTAAGAAACACACTTAGCAGTCATTTATGTGCAGATGGAGCTTTGAGCTGGTTGAAAAGTGGATAGCACAGCAGGCATTAGGGCACATAACGGGGAAAGTGAAGAGACATGCTTAATTTATGCAGCTCTTGTTTATTGTTGGAGATGAACTTGGTGAAATTATCCCTCTCTGGATGTTTTGCATGTCATAATGTGCTGCACAAAAACAACAGCTTAACTTGTGTCTCCTTTACGCTGCATAAGTCTCAATTAAACATCAGCTGTGCAGCATAAATGCAGATGCTCATGTACAAATTGCACACAGGCCTACGCAGGCTGCTGGGTTTCCAGACATGCTTTATCTAGAGCTTATTGGAACTTGACTGTGATGTCAGAGAGAAAACTTTATGCCGTTCTCACACCAACATGGGTTTATTTTTTTCTCCAACTTACCGTCTGTCTTTCTGGACTTGATGCCACAGATTATAGTAAGCAGTCTGAATATTATTTAGGATCTAAAAGACACAGAAAAGAATCCCTCTTACATCAAAACATTATGTTACAGGCGGCGTAACTAATACTCACTTTGGAGTGCTGTAGGTCCACTCTGAGGTTAAGTATTGTGTCTAAGTGGGACTCGTGCATTGCAGTGGCTCTGCATGGACATCTGTGGTGCACCAGGAAGAGCAGCGGTGTGCTGGAAGTTTATTAAACCTTTACCTGAGCGGCACCAAATCACTGTTGACCGCTGTTTTGATGGACATAAACTAATTAGGGGCTGCAAGGTGGCTCAGTGGGTAGCGCCGTTGCTTTGCAGGTAGGAGGTTGTCGGTTCGCAACCCCGTTAGGACGCCCCGGGATCTTTCTGTGTGGAGTTTGCATGTTCCCGTGCAGCATGGGTTCTCTGGCTACCTCCCACAGTCCAAAAACATGTTGAGGTTAATTGGTGATTCTAAATTGTCCTTAGGCGTGAATTGTCCGTAGACTGGTGACCTGTCCAGGTGTCCCCTACCTTCAACCTGAATCAGCTGGGATAGACTCCAGCCTCCCACGGCCCTAGTGAGGATTAAGCAGTGTGTAGATGATGGATGGATAAACTAATTAGCCTACTTGTGTTTCAGAGTTACAGCCTTTAAAATCACCCACCTAATATTTTGTTGGTGACCCTTTTGCCACCAGAGCAGCTCTGACCTGTCAGAACATGAACACAGGACCGCTGGCGTGGTGTTTCTAATTGGAGCTTTGGCACTAGATCGTTTGGGGCCTTCATGAATTGGGATATCTTGCAGGTGCTCAGTCGAATTGAGGTTTGTGTAGTTTGACTACCGGCTCAATGGCTTTGGACTTTTTCTAGTGTTGTGGAGGGACACATTTTCCTTATTGGGGAGACTTCTGCTGTCTTTAAGTTGCTATCGGGGGGAGTTGCTTGGTCTGGAACAATGTTTAGGTGGAGGGTGATGTGTAAAAAGAAATATCCACATGAATGCCAAGACATTGCAGTGTAACGAGATGATCAATATTATTCACTTCGTCTGTCAGCGGTTTTAGTATTGCTGTGTATGCTGTAAGGGAGCCCAAGCAGCAACTATCACAGCTTGACGCTGAAGCCTATAAGTCCTTTGCTTACCATCAAGAGTTTTTATCATTTCATTTTCTCCGTTAAACTTCTCTTGAAGTAGTTCAAAGGAGTCACTCTGGGGTTTAATGATCAACTTTTCTTGTGATGTCCCATCTGACTGCGCGGTGATGCATGTTTATAATCGAGATTTTGGGAAGCTCGGTATTGCGCAATCCAGATATGATAATCATAGTCATAGACAGGCATGAAATCCTTTGTTACGCCCCCATCCTTGGTCCACAACAGCAATTTAATATGACAGCCTTGGCTGGTTAAGTGCTGCATGACCAATCAACTTCCTCACATACAACCACAACTAAAATCGGAAGAAGTCCATATCGTGTCCACAGCTGCCCTTAATATTATCTAATGGTTTCTGTTCTATAAGTGGCAGCAAATTATCTCACTTCAGGTTTGACATTGTGGGTGCCCTGAATCATATTTGACCGTTATTGCAACTCATTTACAAAGCTAATTGTTTTTACAGTTTTAAAATAATTTCCAATATTAAAAACATAAGCAGTCACAGTAAAAACAAAAAAAAAAGTGCATTTCAGCAAAGCTTTTCTAGCAATTATTTGGCACCACACATTAGTTGTTGTGTCCAGTTGAGTGGAGATAATAGCTTGTTAGAGAACACTCCAGCCATAATATGTGATTAAACGGCTCTGCCTGATAAATGTGGCCTATCACTTGATATATTCCATCATTGTTAACAAACGCTGTTTTGCAATTATTAGTTTTAGGGTTTTTTTTCTTCATTAGAATAAATGCCGTTATCTGGAAAAATGACAAACCTCTGTGCAATGAGAAAATAAATGAGGACTCGTCAAGTTAATGACAGAACAATTACATATGTTGTCAGTTTGGACTCCGCAGTGTTGATTGGAATGGTGTAAATTGTTGTCATAAAATTATTCATAGAGAAATGACAGATCCGCCCTTGTGTGTTTCTGAGTTTGTCCCTGGTTGCGACGATGGTTCATTTTAAATTCTACGACAGTGATGCTCTTGGCATTTGCATAGAAAATTAGCTGATTTGCAACATTAAATATCTTAATTTTTTTTTTAAAACTTTGATGTCTTGAAGAGAACATTTAAACCAGTATTATACACTTAGTTTGTACGCCACGACGCACCACTAAGAATAGGCTTTGAGGCATGAAGTGAAATGGCACCGCTAGAGGGCTGAGAAACAGCTGCAGGCCTGTGATAAACTGGTTAGAAATGTCATATTTGGGGGGCAAAAAAAAAAAAGGTTTTTGTGAGAGTTCTGCTTCACTTGGTTAGTCGATAGACAATTTGTCAAAGAAGCGCTGAAATTAGATGGTAGCTTTCTTTCTGTTGCTTCCGTCTTTGATCGCTGCTTGTGAGTAAGGGTCCTAGAACATTTCATCGCATATTCAACGCGCGCAGCCGTGAGGTGTTTTTCACGGAAGATTGCTTTAGTCATCAGAACCCCTTGTGTTTTTTTTCCCTCCGACCCAGTTCATCAACGCTGACAGTTTGCTCTTCAGTGGGCACAGCTTCTGTTAAGAAATGCCAATACTCCACAAGAACAAGGGCCTTCATGAATCAATATGCGCATCTTCTGTTGTTTGGATCTGCTGAACTCACATTTTATTGATCAGAACATAAGATGTCACCTTAGCTGCGATAAAGATGTGATTGGTTGTGATATTTAATTCAGGCATATGAGCTGCTTTGCTATTTTTCTAGAACTGTGGGAGCAGGAATGTAAGTTACAACAAATAAAATGTCACATAGCCCAGAAAGATTAGGCAATACTTGCATATATGCATGGATGCATCTAAGTAGATTATTGCTAGTAAATCAAATGCATCTCCAATTTGCAAGAGTGCAGTTTTGTTGCCTTTAATTGTTGTTTTTATCTGCTTATATATTGCATTTTTAAAGGTAAATGGGTATCTAATTCAGTTTCGTCATTAGAATATGCTCCATTCGCAACATATGCAGCTTTAATTTATTCAGAATGCATTTTAAAGACAGAAATAACCATGAAGAAGTTAAGGAGGCGGTATTATACCATAATAGCGCCGCTTCTCTGTGGAGAAAAGAGAGACACAGTTGATTCTGACGAGGACTTAGTTTGCTGCGAGTCGATTTTCTTCGCATGCAGCCTGTCAGCTTTCAGATCATGTTTCCACTTAACAGGGATTTGAATGACAGGCACGGAGCGGCGGCACTCGTCAGCCATTAGAAAGTAATCACTGGAGAGGTGTTGGGATGGATAGAATTAGAATTGACAGACATGTTTAAATGTGTGATAAGGGATCTTTAGTACAAAGCCTGCATCCAGTTGTTGCTATGGCTGCCAATTTAAGACTATTATTAGGGACCGCGGGGCCGAGGTGCTCGGCGATGTCTTTTATACTCCCAGGATATTAGTAGTGAAATGTTACCGAGCGAAGGGAACAAGTGTTTAAAACTCACCTCAGGCAATTTTTTTTTTATCGTCTTTTCAAGTCATTCGAAATTGTCCACAGTATGAAATTACATATCTTATTCTTTCCTACTGCTACTTATATACAGGGACTACACCATGCGTATATAAGGGTTGGTGTTGGTTGGAAAAAACGCTAATTTTCTCATATACCAGTGTAGAAAATAGGATTGTTGTTCAATTTCTTATGTTGATGAGATGAAGTTTCACAGCTTTCAGTCTTGATGGCAGTGTTTACTCTATTAGCGAAGACACAGATGAACCACGACATTACCACTCGCAGACGAAGCAAATAGTGTTGATTATCTCATCTGGTACGTGTCACAGTCTGAAAGACAAAAGCCACAACTTTAATATCGCTGACGGTTGAAGTGAAAAACACTGATTATCTCCGTGGCACCTGTCAAGAGGTTGGAGAACGTGGCAGCAGTCAGTCCTTGAAGTTTGGAAACAGGAGTCTAAGGATTTTAGTGACAGGGGCCGATTGTTATGGCGAGACAACTGGGTCAGCGCTTCTCCAAAGCGGCGGCTCTTGTGGGGTTTTACAGGTATGAGGTGATTAATACCCAACAAAAGTGGTCCAAGGAAGGACAACCGGCAACGGGATGATGAGCACTCAAGGCTCAATGTGGCATGTGTGGAACCAAGACCTGCCTGTGTGATCCAATCCCACATGAGAGTCGCTAAAGATCTACAAAACCTCAATGCTAGTTATGATAGAACGGCGTCAGAACACACGGGCTGTTGAGGCTTGCGTATGGAGTTGCGTAGATTCAGGCTGGTCTGATTGCCCTCATAAAATAGGCTCGTGGGCAGCAGAATTGGACCAATGGAAAAAGATCTGAATCATGTTTTTTTCTTGTGGGCAGCCAGGTGTTTGCGTATCATTTAGCAGGAAAGAGATGGCAGCAGGATGTTCTACTGGGAAACGCAAGTCCTTAGAAGCTGTGTGAAGCTCTAGGAAATGTTCTGCTGGGAAACTTTAGGTCCTAGCATTCATCTATGTGTTATTTTAACACACAGCATTTCATTGGCAGTTGCCTTTTTTCAGCAGGACATTGCACCTTGTCACTCTGCAAAAAGTATTCAGGAATGATTCGAGGAAAATGAAAAAGATCTTAAGATGCTAACCTTCGCTTCAGATGACCCAGGTCTTAATCCGATTGAACATTTGTGGGATGTGCTGGAAATACAAATCCAATTAATGGAGGCCCCACTTGGTGATTTAGGGATTTGCTTCTAACATCTTGGCACCAGCTGCCACAGTCAAGACCTCCCCTTTCAGAGGTCCTGTGTCCACGCCCCGATGGGTCGGAGCAGTTTTGGTGACTTGAGAGAGACCGACGCAGCATTAGGTGGGTAGTTTCAACTTTGATGTATTAATCGGTAAAAGTCGTCGGGAGATACGCTGGAACAAGCCCGATCCATTGCCGCTTTTACCCTCTGAGGTTTTATCGGGTCAAAGCTGTTTTGACGGCGTGCAAAGGTCATGGAGTGGTCAGGATGCTTGGGCTTATCACTGTGTATCAGTGGAGTAAGTCGAAAAGAATTCCACTCACACACACAAATGAGAGGCAGGTCTCTGGCTGCATATGTGTCTGCCATGCCCTGTCTTTCATTCTTATTTCCATGTTTTGCCAGACTTCATGCTCAGTGAACTTAAGCAGCATTGCCTGGGGTCTACCTAGCCAAGTACTTGAACTGACAGACCCTTTGATGCATCAGTGCCCATACCCACACATGCTCACTCTTTGTGTTCTTTTCCCTCCCTGCTTTTTTATTTCTATTGACATGGGAAAACCCACTTTCTTTCCACTGCTTTCAAAGAATGACTCAAATAATTCATCAATGACTGCTGCTTGTCTCCAAGCTTGGGTGGTGGGTGTTGCGAGCCAGCATATTTTAAAGATCTCAGGTTCTGCCAGCCGGCAAGCCTCAGCTCTGCAGTGCCTCCTCTCTGGAAGAATCACCATAGTGGATATAATAAAACATTTGAAACTCTGCCCACAACGCTGTGTGCTAAGACAATAAGCCTCATCAATTTTTATTTTTCACGCCTCATCGTGTGTGCTTCGAGACAGTAAAACTGCCTTTTACAGCTGGAAAATCCCCCCGACGTGATTGAATAGTGCGATAGGAGCATGTTTTTGTAGGATCAGAAATGTTTTCAATGCATTATTGTTTGGACTTTTTTTTTGATTACACTCTCTCTGTTTTTGAACTCGTTAGGTAGCTAGCTAAATGCACCTGAATAGAAAAATGGATGGTAATTCCAGCCAAGTGAAATGGTGGGGGTGAGGTGCATTAAAAAAAAACTCATCTTAATGTGTGTGCTGTCTTGTGAGTTGATTGATTGCCTTTTCTCTGGGTAGCCATATGTTTTTTTGACAGCTACTTCATCACTTTGCGGCCAGAGTATAACCTGGATCCTGCTCTCTGTTGTGATGTTACACATAATTTGACCATTTTGCTTCTCTGGACCGTCTCTCTCTCTCATTCAAACACATTCAACACACTGTTGTTAAATGAATGATCTCATGAGTTGTGTGATCTGTGTGTGTGTGTGTGTGTTCCCAGTGTGATCCAGGACAAGTTCTGCGGCATCATAAACATCTGCGTCGAGGCGCTGCATGACGTCATGACGGAAGATCCAGAAACGGGCACCTTTAAAGAGTAAGTGTTTCTGCTTTTCTTTCTTTCTTTCTTTCTTTCTTTCTTTCTTTCTTTCTTTCTTTCTTTCTTTCTTTCTTTCTTTCTTTCTTTCCAACCGAAGAGACAAAAGGAAAAAACAAGTTAATACTCGTTAGTCATACACTTCAAACCTTCCAGTCGTTTTTTTTCACAATTGAATGAAGATTTTAATTTTGACTAAATTCATGTGTGATGACTAAAGATGCGTGAAAGCACTTGAAGCAGCACAAGTGCAGATGTGTTGCTGGAGCTTACATTCATTTCAATAAAAAACAATCCCTTCAACCATGCCAGTGTGCCGAAGGAGGCTGTTAGACGGCGCATATTTTTATAAGCTTTATTAAATCAGGTAATCTTGTCGAGATTGAGATCTCTCTTGCGCGGGAGACCTGAGAACAAGACGCATCAATCATCATCCTCCCACCCTGCACTCAGCAGCACACAGACGCAGCACAAATAGGAGTCTGCCGATTCGCGTCAAAACTTTTCCCTGTGGAACGGTCCGGAAAAGCAGCTCGCAATGGAATGAGATACTGACCGTAACCCCATTTCAACTCCGTGCCTCCTCTGCCTCGCCGCTGTCTCCTCCGGCTCTGTGTCCCAGCAGCATGATGCTCATTTCTCAGTAGATGTTAACTGACGTGTAGACATACTTTCCCTTGCTGTCAAAAAATGCCCAGAACCCTCCTAAGATGTGACAGTGTGAAATGAACTGAGAAGCTGTTTAGAAAGGTTACCGCGAGTGTTTCTTTATTTGCCAGTGATGTGTTGAATTGTTTTGGTTCCCCGTTGTGCTTCGTAATGGACAAGACATATTTGTGGATGCGCATTTCCTCTGAGTTTTATTCACTGTTTGCAAATGCAATCAAGTGAGACAGACAGCAGTGAGTCTTGTAATCTTCCTGCCTTTATTTAGGAATTATGTAAACTTTCTCTTTATTCCTCCGCCATAAGTGGTTTAGAGTTGTCGCTGTGTGGTGTGGAATAAGAATGAAAGTCTTTATTACTGTAAATTTAATAAAATATTATGCCAAATGGCAAGCTGATTCAGCATGGTGCTCTACTTGTCCCTTGGTATCTGTAAAGTCAAGTTTGAATGTCTTTTTTTGTTACTGTACCGAACCGGACAGGACCGATATGTAAATTAAGATGACTAAAAATAAGAAAGAAAAAAGCTGCAATTTAGCAAAGTTTAAACTGAAGGAAGGTAAGGAGGAAGTAAAAATGTGGCCATATGATCGTTTTTTTTCAACCGAGCATTAAAAGCACTCAATTGCCACGAGCAGTTATTTGTTTATTTATTTGTGGTGGAAACACGTTGAGACCGCAAAATTGACATATCATCTTTTCAGCGATATCTGTAGCCACAGTTGGTTATTTACATATTCAGCTCTGGAGCAACATTATCATTCATTAGGAGTTGGGTTTTCTTGCGGCTTGATATTCATTCTCTCTATTATCTCATTTCTATCCCCACGTCCCAGGGGAAATATATGGCTCTTTCACTGCTAAATGCTCCACTATGTCCACTTGCTAGTCACTAACTGTGTCTGATTGTCCTTTGGTGCTAAAAAGGAAGTGTACAGTTGATTTTTACAGGGTTTTTTTTGTTTGTTTTTTCATTGAAATAAGTGCAAAAAGTATTGCTATGAGAGCAATGAGGCCGAACCAAAACTGCAAAGCTGTACGGTGAACTTATGCTCTCGAGAAATGTTCATAAAGCAAATTTGTTTGATAATTTTCTGGAAATTCATCACAATAAGCAACACATTGTGTTCACACATTATTAATACATTATTATACAAGTATTGAATATGGCAGCTGTAAACACGTCCACATCCCAGAAGAGAAAGTTTAGATTGCTGGCTTTATTACCTGTAGGGACTGGGGGGTAAAGCTGGAAAGTTAATCACAATAAAATGTTTTATCAGATAATAGTTTACTTTGAAATGTTCCATTTCTCAAGGTATACATGTAGCTTTATGAAAAACACATATAAATAATTACACTCAAATTATAACAAATAAGTATGGGGGACTGATCTCAGCTTTATACATTTTAAATATAAAATCAAGTAAATAAGGTGCACAAAGGATGACCAGGGCAGAGCTACCACACCATGGAAAGATTTTGAGTGGTTAGCCAAGTCTGGGCATCCATCCATTCGTCCATCCATCCATCCATCCATCATCTATACACTGCTTAGTCCTCACTAGGCTACACTTAGAGACAGACAACCAAGCACACTCACATTCACACCTACGAACAATTTAGAATCACCAATTAACCTCAACATGTTTTTGGACTGTGGGAGGAAGCTGGAGAACCTGGAGAGAACCCACGCTGCACGGGGAGAACATGCAACCTCAGAAAGATCCCGGGTGTCCTCACCAGGACATGAACCGGCGACCTTGCTGCGAGGCAGCAGTGCTAATCACCGCAACACCTTGCAGCTCCATGTCCGTGTATCAGTAAATGAAAGCCTTGCATTGGCCTCTGTGCACACCCCCTGAGCAAGCTGCTGGGAGTGTGTTACTTAGGGGGAGGTGGTTGGGGAGTCATGGTTTTTCTAGACCACAAAGCCCAGCTTGCAGGTGAGAGTCAGCCACAGCCTCTACCATGGAAGGTCTGCAGGTTTACACCAGAGTGAGAAAAGGTCCATGTGGCAGTAGACTAGCATACCAAAGGAGACCTGAGCTGAGCAATGGAGGGTGAAGGGCCTCCAATATTAGGGGATGTGATTAGCTGTTCTAAGCCGTGAGCAGAGCTTTGTTTAGAGTTTGTTCATGCAACTGAAATTAGTGTTTTTTTTATGTACTTTTATGAATCAGATGCATTTAACTGAAACTATCGAACGTTGTATCCGCCAGCTTTCTGTTTGCCTTTATTCATGTGTCTATGGCAGATACATTCTGCTGTTGTTTCATGGCCAGTGCCTAATTTCTTGAAAATATTACCTGTTTGCTCACAAGTTCATTAAGTTTCACGACTTTCAGTACATTTAATTAGAGTTTAGGCCGAATTTAATTACAATCTGATCACGACTTATCCGTTGCTACATTTCAAAGTCATGAAAGGTGACATTCAGGACCCCCCCCCCCTTACCTTATCTCTACTCACCATAAGGATTAAATAACAAGGACAAAGGAAATAAAAGACCATACACAGACTTTATACCGAGCACAAAGGTTTCACTTGTAATTGTCTCTGCATGCAGATGAACCAATATGAATAGCAGGCAGGAGCTTTGTTTAAAAAAGTGCCAGAGGGTTCAGCCTTTTCTGCGTGCCTGTGTGTGCACACGCTGCCTGTTCTGAAATTGTCTCCTACTGTGCAGGTTTACGTGCGGTTATTAATATTGAGTCGAATATTATTGTGTTTGCAGCTGCATGCTGATGAGCCATTTTGAGGAGCCCAAGCTAAGTGATGATGAGGAGCCACCAACTGAGCAGGACAAGAGGAAGAAACTGGTGAGTCAAACACGCCGTTTGTACACACAAACACACACAGTACAGATCTAATTTTGCAATCAGTGAAACATTTATTCTCTTGTTCCATTTGTGATTTAAAAAAAAAAAAAGCTCCACTGATGCATCGTTCGTTTTACGTCCTATTTATTTAATCAGGTCTGTCTCTCCGTCCTCTGATTGCAAAAATTATTTAAACTCTTCTGATGTCCTTTATGCTATAATAACACCTATACAAAATGAAAGCACAGAATCACAGAGAGATTTTTTTTCTCCAGTAATTAAAGAGCAAAGTGGTCACTTCATGTTCTCAAGCAGGATTTCAGTCACCACCCAGCTTCAATAGCTGCCACCGCTTTTCATATAGAGTGCCATATAATCACTTTAATGCACAGTTCCTGGCTGCAAGCAGAGAAGCTTCCTGCTAGCACTTTAAAAGGAGCATCAGTGTTTGCGAGTACCCATATATGGCCCCTAGGTGGGGGATGCACACCTATTAAACACTACAGTGATGCATGCATGTATGTATGAGCAGGGATTCTGTACAAGCAGCTTAGAAACTGTCACACTCCTTCACATTTTTAAAACATTGTTTAATTACATTGTTGGAGTCAATGTTTGTATGTCCCCATTCAAATGAGCGCTGGGGCAAAATTACATTTCTATACAAATACGATATAATTGGAGTTTGACTGAAGAGCTGTATTTATTTTCTGGTGTGACTTTGTGTGACTTTTCTTTGTGTGTGTGAGTGTGTGCATTTCCTGGGCGGCATCCCAGTGCACTTATCACCTCAGCCCAGACCCTGACTTTTTTGCTCCAGGGAATAGAGGAGAGGAGACTTAAAGTCGCACCTCTCTCTGCTTCTTAATGCGTATTGGTCGGTGTGCTGGGAGACTTGCATGAATGCGTGTGTGCCAGTGTCGGGTGTGTGCCCACATGGGATGGTTTTCAGTTTGAGGAGAAAGTTAATGAGAACGGAGAGCCGTGACATTTTTTGAACATTTATTGACTCCGGTTTGGCTTTCTCGTGACTTTTCTCCTTGGCAGGTGTCGTCATAACTTTGTAATGTGTGCATGAGGATCTGTATGTTTGTGCTCATCTGAAAGCACTAGTGGGCCACAGAGGATGTTGTTTGTTGTTGCGCTCTCTAATAATACATAGTCGCTGCAGTCGGTCTTGTTTGTGCCTCTCTCTGATAAATATATTCAAACAGTGGACAGACAATGCAATGTCTGTGAGGAATTAATACAATATGTACTATGAGCTAAAAATTTAAAGCCATCACTTCCACATTGGTTATTTATGTCTAAGCTGTACTCGGTGGCATGTAGTTCGCTTTTCGAGGCTGCCATGTATGTCCACCACTGACTGTATACAAATGATGGACATAGTCACTGTGATGCCACCCATCGGCTTGTGGAATGCAATTTCGAAGACTAAAGTTTGGAATTTAGGGCTGCAAGGTGGAGCAGGGGTTAGCACTGTTGCCTCGCAGCAAGAAGGTCGCCGGTTCGCATCCTGGTGAGGGCACCCAAGGTCTTTCTGCGTGGAGTTTGCATGTTTTCCAAAAACATGTTGAGGTTAATTGGTGATTCTAAATTGTCCGTAGGTGTGAATGTGAGTGTGCTTGGTTGTCTGTCTCTAAGTGTAGCCCTGTGATAGACTGGTGACCTGTCCAGGTGAACCTGCCTTCACCCTGAGTCAGCTGGGATAGACTCCAGCCCCCCGAGACCCTAGTGATGATTAAGCGGTGTATAGATAATGGATGGATGTTTGGAATTTGGCTGTTGCCGTTTGGTCTTTTAAAACCAACCGGTGGCTGGTAAATTACAAGATAGCTGCACCATGATGCATGTACTACTTAATCGTCTGTTTTACTTTAAATAGAACTGTAATTTACTAAATGAACGCCATCCTGTTTTGAGACTGAGACCATAAACTCATTAGGAAAGTGCTTGCTAAGGTGGCAAATCAAGTGAGAAGTAATTTTCTCATCGACAAACTTCTTTTCTAGACGAGTCAGCTCCTGGTTGCAATTAGAAACAATGCAGTTTTAAGTCACTTGTGCACTGCCTTCACTTTTCAGAGCCACATTCACCTTTTCTATACGGTCTTCGATGTCCACTACCCGCAGGGTGCGGTGTAGGGGTCTGATGCATTGCCAGTCAGGCAGCACTTGAAAACTGGCACTTGAGATGTGAAATGTCACCTCTCTGGGGGTGAAGATGCTTGAGAAAGTGGAGGTGGTGAAGCAATACCAAATAAATTCAGTTCAACTCACCCCTATACACAGAAATGGTCTTAGAACTGATGTCCAGGACGGATCCTGGACTTCTTCTCAGAGCAGGTATACGGATAGGCACATTTCCCCAAACTGAGTCCAACTGAGTTAGAATTTTCTCTTCTATATGTAGTGCATATGAATATTAAAAGTATGCTGTGAAGTACTGCCTTACCAGCTGAAATTCAATGAATACTAAAGTTACTCTGAGCAAGAGAGAGCCAATATTATGCTTAATCGAGTTACACCGATACATAGGCTTCTCAATATATAGGCCAATATCGCCCTATTGCAGCGACATCAGCGTGCATGTCACCCGATAAGTTACAGGAAACTACAGTAAAAACAGAGATTGGTTTACGGTTATTTGGCATTGCCACTGACCACCACAGAGTTCAACAAGTTCTTCTCAAGTTGTGAAATGGCTGTATCTCAGTCCCAGGGGATTCAAACGATTTTTTTAAAAACATAGTTCGTTAAACGGCCATCACGGCTGCTCATACTTTATCTCCATAGTGTGCTACGTTAGCGCCAACAGCAGGGACACTATAGCTGCTGCACACCTGGATAAAAACACTTTATGCAGAAGATAGGGTCCGAAAATCCTACTTTTGCATCTCATTAAACATTATTACAAGTTATGCACCAAACCACATTCTAAATGCCAACTGAAAGTGTGATAAATACAGCATTCAGATATCCAGTTATGACTTCTCATGTCTCTAGTCAGACACTACTGCAGTGTGACTGCATTCTAATCACATTAGATATGTAGGGGGAGCAGCGTAATCCACCACAACTCCGATTATTGTTCATCAAGGTGACCAATTAACCAATGTTTTGAGCAACTATGTGTTTGCTGGATCATATCATTTTATTCAACAGTGGCGCTTTGGAGCTTATGTCCAGGATCATGTGATACTTTACCTTTATTTATTCATATATGTTAAATATGTTGCCATTGTGTGATAATTTATTTTATATAGCGGAAAGATTCTAGACAACACTGTACCCATCTTTGCCACCTTTCTCTTGCCGGCTGGTGTTTCCCCCTCTTTCCTCTTTGCCATTCATCTCTTCATATCTTAAGTCTCATCTGCCTGTAGCTAAAAGTTTTATGATTGTGGTTTTTTTTTTTTGCCTTGCTGAATTAGATTTCGCTGCTTCCTTGCAGGCAATTCTACATTAAAGTTAAATAGAGTGAGTACAGTGAGAAAGGAGAAATTACCTTGATCACTGGTCCTCGCATCGCACACACCGCTCTACAGCTGGTATTGTAGCTCTTTTCTTTCTGATGTTGTCGGACTGTACTTTGGATTTTTTTCAACGTCCAGTTCGACCTTGTTTGGTTATTACATTGTCTGGCTTTCCCCACGAGACCCCGTGCTACATAATTTGCTTTTAAGATGCTTTTATGTGATTACACTGGAGCTCGCGACCGTGCGGTAAACCACAAGCACGGATGTTTCCAGGGCAAAGCTCTTTAAAGGCTGTGACATCCAGCTCCAACACACTAAGAAATAAAGTCAGTTACATTTTAATGTACTTTTAAATAAGTCTAAACATATGTTATTTCAAAACTGATGCACAAGTCTTAGGAATTTATTTAGATTGTAATTTTAAAGTAAAATCGGTTGTCTGCAGAAAATTGGACATTTTAGCTCAAATTTGAGACCGTCAACAAGTGTCAAAAGCTTTATTTGATTGAATATATATACACCTGACAGTACAAATTGACAATTGTATTTATTGATGACATGTTTGTAACAATTTCTAGTTTAGGTTGAGAACCAGTAAATGAAACTTTTGGCAACTATGTCCACAATAATGGTGAAAGTCCTTATCTTTTACATATGTGCCATGTCTATTTTGTGGGTTTTTTAAAAAATTATTTTTAATATATATGCTAGAAGACATATTATTGGCAAAGGTCATTGCCATGGCTCAGCATTTCCAACCTGAAAACTACAGTGTTCCAATGATAGTCTCAAAAAACATGGATTCAGACAGACAGTCAGGGTTTCATATCGAACGAAACTTAGGAACCAATCCCATCAGCTTGCCAGGTGGGGCTTTCCACATCATTATTTTATTATTATTATTTTTTTAGAATCGGTTAACGGTTCATACATGTATGGCTGAATTACTCCGATTGCGCATTTTGTCGTTGTGTAGTGTGGAGTAGTTTTACGGTGTTTAAGCAAAGTCTTTGGTTAGCTCGTGTGTTGAACTACAGGGTGCGGTAGAGAGGTGGGAGGAGATAGAAGTGGAGGTGCACTTTATTGAGGAAGCAAGACTTACAGCTAAACCCTTTTTCAGGCATGAGGGGATTATTTTCATAGGAGAAGCCTTCCACTGTAAATATGTAATTCTGTTACATGCAGGTGAGTTTTTAGGGGTTTAATCAGTGACTGGAGACGGACTATAACGCTCATAAATGACCCTTGAATTATGCTTGATTTCTCCGTCCCAGCATACTTGTGTAATTACATTAGGGAGTGGGGGAGCCGTCAGTGTAACACTGTGAGACTTCAACCATTTCCACACTACTTCTTGTGGTTGGTATTACTGTTTGCGGCACCCCAGCGTTCTACACTTTGGCTGAAATGCTGCTAACTGACTTTGGATTAGCCTGATGGGTGAATGGGTTTGTTTTGTGTTTTTTTAAAGGGTTGCTACCACAAATGTTTGCCTGTCTTGAATGAAACTTGTACTACT